GGCAGTAGACCTTTTTGCCATGGCAACGGCAATGACGATGCTCTCTCGAGTTGTCACGTAGCTGTGGCAAGAAATAGAGAAACAGTAAACTTCCCGTTCCAGTTATAGTAGCTCTGTTTAGACGTAACCGTTATCACAGTATTTAGCACGTTTAAATATATCCATGATAGATAATATTAAACTGCGATAAAGCGTCAACAGGATTTTTTGTGGCAAAAAAAAACCATTTCCCACAAGCGTCTAGCCTGGGTCCTGTAAAAGAGAATCATTGTACGAGTAATTTCTTGGCAAGTTACAACTATTTCCGCAGTTTAAATAGTTCCATTGGCATGCTATCTTTTAGTTCAACTTTTTTCGACTGAAAAGTAAGAGTATCGGGTATAGATGCCTCAAAAAATGTTTTGTTTTCAAAAAAATTAGTTTTTGACAGGTTTTTATGAAGGAAGAGCATTTTGCTAGAACCCTGAACCTTAATGTGTAGGGTAAAGGAATAACAGGACATGGAATTCTGTAAGATATTCTGGAAAGGTAAGAAGATATACCTAAGGTGACAAATAATAATAACATTTGGATTACCATTACGTACCTACTTTTTGTAGTAGGATTCCATATTAGGTTTAAGCTAGCACTTCTATTAGCTATATAGTAGCTTTCTTCTATATAGGAAGGAAATCGTTTTTTGGTACTACTGGGCAGCTTTTAGGGAAGTACTCATTTTTGGACTAAATCACTAATCGCTCAACATTTCCACAATTATCCAAACTTCAAACAAACGTCCATCATACTGTCCATTCTTTAGTCGCCATGAGTTTTACAAAGCCTTTCCTTTCGTCAAGCTTCGATATCTCTTCGAAAATATAAGCTAGATTTTCGTCTTATTTTTCTTCTACCATAACGTACATCCTTCGTAGTTTTTCTCAAAGCTTACATATTCATCACATTAAAAAATTTCATAGTAAGGATTGTTGATAAACTGAAACAAGTTGTTTTTGTACGAAGCATGCGTTCGTCAGCTGTTATTGGTACTAAACAGTCAATTCTTTTTATTAAGCTATCTGGAAGTGTCTAGAGGATTGCAAAACTTGAACAGCTTTCAAGCTAGTGAACCATATTGGTAAGTATTTACAATAAGTTATTGCCTCTACACTACTATAGGCTGATTTAGTACCCTCAGAGAATCATTAACCTAGAGACGAAAATATTGTGAGGCGTTGTAGATCAATGCTCATCAATGAAGCTCCTGCTTCTTAAAAATGAAAATGCTAGTCGAGTCTAGGGAAATGAGAACGTAGAGTTAGAAGTCCCCTAGAGAAACAATAGTTTATTATTGGGACACGCAATCAAGCTGGCTAATGATGATGTGAGGTAAGCATGGGTAAGATGTTTAAAGCCTAAGACGTCAATCTAATTGTCGTGATTAGAAGCTTCTGGTTTATGGCAACAATACTCTGCAGCTGGGTCTTTTGTTGCTAATAGTTGCATAAATTATTGCATGTTTCTTTATCTTCGATTTTCTCATTTACTATAATTTCATAATTCGCTGTAACGTACGTTATAACTCGTTGTTAGTAAAGACAGGGCACACATTGTTCTTGCCTTATCTGTTCAGAAGCTTCCATGATTGCGCAACCCGTTAAGGGTCCTGAGATGGTCAGCTCGAGTGCATACAGTCTCCTAATTCCCGCTGCTGAATATACCCGGCACCTTCAGGAAACGGAAACTCAATCACTGAGCGTTCATTTTCAGATTTACGCGATACCTTTTCACGCGAACTCAGTATTCTCTGATAACGCCCGATCAGCTTATGATAGAAGACAGCCAAAGTTTAGCAATTCAAGGTGTTTTCAAATTCCATCCGCTATTGGTGAATAGCTTAACAGCTGGTTCTTTTTGTTTTAGGCTTAGTTCCGAACAGCCCCTAGGCGACCGATGCCGTCAGGTCGTTATGGCAAGAGCAGGAGGTTCATTTAAAGAATACCAGAGTATATAAACTTCTTCATGTCGTAGGTAGAACTCTGAGGTAACCTCCGAAGGGTCCCATATGCAAACACATACAAAAAAGACGGATGATTGTTGAGAGTTACTAGACATCCCGCTTCTGTCACAGTTGTTCTGGCTTTTGGACAATTATCGAACTGAGAATGAACTATAATTTTTCCTCTATGTTATCAACAACTTAGAAAATTACAAGAATAATAATGTATACTGTTGTATAATAGAGTAATAACATTGAATATAAAATAATATTGAATATATGAAGAATAATAATATTGTATGTCCTAACGCCCCCGGCATTTTTAATCCGTGTTACACGTCAGTAGAGATAGAACTGTTGTTTGTTGACTTTTCCTAAATAATAATAATAATATTTTTTTCTAGAGGATTAACTGTAAAATGGCTCGTGGACTAGTTCCGAACTTCACACATGGGCACTGGCCCGGAAGTGTGAGACCCGCTCTCACTAAACATCAGCCATGTGCTTATCCTCACCTAAGCCAATCACACATTATTTTGGTCGAGCCAATAACCGAGAACTGGTACTACGATATAATGATTGTAGGACCGTCAGTAAACGTTCCAACCCTTGCTGGATTTGTCGTCGTCCCGGGCAGTCGTTCAAGCTCTTTGTTTCTCTCCGTCACCGTTGATATTTTACGGTTGCTATTTAGGATCTAAGGCATAATTTTGGACTGGTCTTGCAGGGCTTATCCGAGTTTTCCTCAAACAGACTTATAAACCGACCTGGCATGGTAATCATTTTCCAACGCTAGCATCCGTGACATCGGTTGTCATGCTTGCGTTGTATATCATACAAATGGTGATTTCAGTCTTATTTATTGTACCTGGGCATCATATAGTACGTTGTGACACGACCATTTCTCTTGAGTCACTTGACTAAAATTCTAACAATCAGTCTGTACTTCTAAGGAGTTGTCTAACGGGGCGCTTCGCCACTGCTGTCATTCCCTTCTAATTCGCTGTTTTGTCTTTTCCTTTTCTAGCTTGATTGTCTCTTCGATGATCTGGGGCCAGATTACGAGCTATACTACGGTGATTACTGCCTATGTTTCCCATATTTCATAGACTTTCATCGTTCTTTTTACCAAGCGCTTCTTCCCTCCGCAATGTTTCGCCCTGTATCACTTCTGTTCGATCACGGTCATTTTCTACGTGGACGCTGCGCGTAGCGTCACATATTCTTGAAGGCCTTCTTTTTTGTTTTGTGGCTCCTCTTACAGTATTTTCGTTAGGCTATTCACCAGGTCTACTACCTTCTTAGGTGTTCTGCCGACATATGGATCCCTATAAAAATTCGACCCACTGCCACCTCTACGTATCAGCCTTCCTAATCTCTATTTCTATCCTTAATGGAAAAAAATGGATGAATATGTTTTGTTTACAATTACTTGCGGCGTTTCATTGTTTCCTTGGGCCGTATACTCGTATGCCTTTATCCATATACCTATTTTCTTCAGAACAGTTTGCGTTCTGTGTTGTAAACTATCTTAGTTACGCGCTGTGACTAGAATGTCCATGTGATCCGCGTATGGTATCGTTTGAGCTCTTTAGAGCTTCAGAATTTTTATTTATTTCTTAACATGCTTGTATTGGCCTTCGTTGATACGCTGGTGGTCATGTAGAAGTCTTTCAGCTGATGATTAACGGCTTTTTTACAAAAGTGGGAAGCCTTAAGCTTTTGAGGCTATGAGCGGTTTTTTTTACCTTATTGTGTCTATTATGACCTATGACCTAAACGACTTAACCGCATAGCATGTGTATAGGTAAATAACCATGCACATTTTCCTGGACCTCTGGTTTTGTTCGTTTGAATTTCGGGTGTCTTGTAAAACCTGTTTTGACTGCCGTTTAGCTAGACCGACTCCTACGGAATTTGTATTAAGTATCCAAGACCGCAAATCTATTCTTTGGTGACACTGTTAGTCTCTTACCTATTCAAGACCCTTGTTAATTGTGTCTAGTAAGTAGATTAGGCGGTATGCTTTAGGCTCTCTGTAAGGTTTCTCTGGTTCTCTGATGCGGACCAGAATGGCTCTTTTCCATCATTTTCTTTCACATCCCGCCCGATCCAGGTGCGTTGCATTTAAAGAATCTTCTAGTCACTGACTCAGTTTTCTTTCGAAAGTAAAAGGGAATAATGCATTTATTATTATTATTAATTATTTTGTCCATCAAGGTTTGGAATCCGGTGACTACTTTTTACTTCTTCCCTCTTGCGCTGTCCTCCACTTATTTAAGCAATTCTTTCTAGCTCTTATCTTTGTGTTTTGCGAATTCATATTTCTCTGCTTAAAATAATATTCAATTCCTTTGCGTCGTCGTTTCTTCTTCTTGGCTTTGGTGATTTTCGTCCGGCTTTATCGCAGGCCTTTCTGCGAGCTAGAGTGCCTGCTGCGTCCATGGGCGTTTCCGAAGGTGTATGTCGGACCATGTTGGCATTGTGCGGCCGCTCAAGAGGCCTTCTTACCTGTATTTCCAACTTGTGTTTTAACAAAACCTTAGGCTGAAGGTTGCAGAGAGAAGCAGAGATTTCGCACATCGATTGTACCTACAGGATACCTGTTCCATGCTAAAGATGCTATTTAAGAGTAATAATTATCGTCTTCAAGAACGAAAAAAAATTCTGGATGGGATCATTTATTTGGTGGGACATAAATGGAACGATTTAACTCTTTCCATTAAAAACCAAAGAACAGTCATCTTTGCACGTCATCGAGGATGGCGACCGCAACATTTCCACGATAACCGCATATAAAAGCATCCTCAATTGTATCAAACTGCCACAAAACTGCTTTTTACTTTGCATTGTAAACATTTTTTAATATAAGTATGAAGTTGGCGACGACATATTTTGGTTGGCAATGATACTTCACACAATTCTTTCTTAAGGACAGCTAAAGAAGCAGTGGGAACGATCGTTACGCCATACGTAAAGAAAGCGTCACCCTAACAACGGGTATTGTTTGTAAAAAAACAAAAGGTGCCTTGCTTACACATATCCGTGCATCGGCTAACAGTTTATTTGTCGCTAATCCTTATACCTATATAGACATGACATTGAGAATAGGTCAGTGGAAATCTACTACCTAGGCGATATACATCGTACTCTTGGGGGGGTCATCGAACGAACAAGTCAGGGCACGTTCTACAAGTAATCGCATATTAACACTTCCATCATAACATTGTGAAAAAACGTACGTTTACGCTATAAAACATTAACAGTTTTTTTTTTTTCTCTCAGACTCATAGCTAATTTGTATTCTGATGGTTTCCCTTATCACCTATTATAGTCGTGCTGGCTGCCTGGTTTTAGCTATGAAACTGTATTCGATAGCCGAGGAAAGTAAAGACATAGCATTCACACAATCCGTGCAGATTACGGCTGGCCATACCGCATTGTGTAGACAGTCTGAATGTTCAGGTTAATTGCGTCTGATTACTTACTGTATACAAAGCGTTTTCTACAGTCATATAGTTTGATGTTTTTGAGCTAAATTGCATGTAAGTTAAATTCTATTTTTTAAGTTAACCCGATACTTGATTTTTTTTTATCTAAAAAAAAAAAACTTTTAGAATCTCTGTGTCAAATATCAGCCTGATAATATAACTTTCGTTGTCTAAATTGTGTAGTATACTAAACAAAGAATGACTGTTTAGAGCTGCACAGCGAATTTGAACGTACTCGATCTTTCTCCACCACTCGACCATACACTTATCGTCCAGTTTTTACTGCTTTATTATACGTTTTGAATTTTATCTTCAAAACCCCAAAACTAATAATATAGTAGACGGCCAGAGCAAAGCACGAAATAAACACGACAATATCAAGCTTCGTATATTACCCTAAGATTCGCACACACACGGTGCTTGCACGTGAGTTCGGATGTCTTTCAAACTTCGGCGTGAGTGTACAGAGTCTTGTACATCGTGCTATTACGGTAATTATACTTGTGGCTAGATAATTTTTTTTTTTAACTAAAAATAGCCCATACAACATTAAACATTGAGGCGGTAGTATTTCGAACATCGCCCTGTAATCCCCTCAAGCTAGTCTTCGGTTGTACATGAAAAGAACGGTCATCAGAGCGATCATTGAGATTCCTGAAAGCGAATGTTGTACGGGATAGCTGCAGGTACGAACGAATACCGGCATCAAGATGTGCAATGTAATAATAAGGAATTGTGCCAGTTCAATCTTATCTAGATAGCGCTTCCAGGTCAGATAGGGGGTTAGACGGGGTCCAAATGTTGCTAAAAATATATACGTATACAATATGATATGCACACACATATTAACGCACACCCCAAATACGGCCTGACCCTCAACACCGTAAGTCAACCCGTACACCCCAATAGTCACCGAAGCGCAATGATGGTAAACGTGGAACAACGAAATTCGATAGAATTTCTTTTGTAGCGCGTATATAATTGTGCCAACGAAGTCGAAAATACGAACAAATAGATAAGAGTGCATTAGCCCAATAACTTCCATTGTGCGAGACGACCGGTCATCATAATCCACTCCTGAAAGAAAACATTTACAGACATTAGAAAGGTGCAGTTAGTTAAAACATAGTTCAATGCTTTTTAAGGCTTTTGTCCAACCATAACCGTCGAGCCTGAGTTGTAGATTTTATAGTCGTCCCGCTAGGCGCAGGTGAATTTTCAATTCTGATTTGGTAGGAGCCTGCACCTTTTTAGTTGATATGTGTTCGGCGAGGCGCAAAATTTCGTATATTATGCTATGGGCGATTACTGGTAAACAGCCTATTTAGCAGTCTTCTGAACGATAATATATTTTAATCCCACGTACTATTTTTTCGTCCCTTGCATATTATTACAGGGTGGTTTAGTAAACCCTCATCATCGGTAAAGTCAATCCTGGAATCATGATTAACGAAAGTATTCAATGGATCTGTACACTATGCCATTATATATGACCCGAGATAAATTTTCATCACTCTGCTCCGATTTAACGTAAGCTAAGCTTCGCTATATCCCGAAGAACGCGTTCAGATACGTGTTTGTGTCGACATACATGAGTGAATGAGTATGTGTTTTGTACATTTTGGCAGTAAAGGAAGAAGAAAAAAGAAGATGTTACGCATGCGTTAGTGGTGACGAGACATTTTCCGCGTTTACAATCGATTACACATATAAAGTAGAAGGGTTAACTTTTTCCGATTAAACGGTTTCTCTTGCCGAATATAATATGTATTTTCTTTGGGGGAAGGATAGAGAATCGAAACTCAAATGCGGCATTTTTCATTTGTTACTTTATAGTAAAGCTTTTTACTTAAGAGTGTTATAAACATTCAGGGGTCGTGTGGTACAAATCAAGTAAGTTTGCTACGTATGCGAAACGTTCTTACCGCAGTCTTGTGATAGTATGACTAGTCACCTTAATGATTTCTGACTGAACGCTCGCTCTGGTACTGAAGAATAACACACCTTCGCTTGATGCGGTTAAATTATATTCTACGCAGCGTAGCTAAAAATTGTACGAAAAACAGAAACTTTTTATGATCAATCCGCTAGATTTTAGAAAGTTATCATAAACAATAGCTTGTGTCAGGACGGCCTGACTTCGCGTGGTCTCGCACCTTCGTTTTTACCATTCGACCTAAAATGTGATATCAGATTAGGATTGGCGCTGCAGCAGCAAACAGCAGGTAAACAGCCCTACGCATTTTTATGCAGTGGTCCATTTCTCAAATTCATAGATTATCTTGTCGAGTGCAGGTGGAACCTGGTACAGCCACTGTTTACACTCCTAGTTAATAGAATTTTCTTTCCATTCGAACTAATTCGAGTAGATGAAATTTTTTGAGAAAAACCATTTTTAAAATCTAATTTTCTGCGCAAAATTCTCGGGTTAAGCATCCACTGCTATGACGTAACCCTCAAAAATAGCAGAAATAGTGGCAATCATAAGCGGTCACTATCTCCACGTTAGAACTTGAACTAAACGAGGAATTCGTATCCAAAAATGGTTTACTTTGAGTGTAACCAAAAACGATCCGGTTAGAAAAAAACACAATTCTTTTTGCCGCCTGACTAAACGGCTAGATCCTTCAAGGTTTCAACTGACAAAAACTTCCCGCTCTCCCAGAGTACTTCACAGTAGAGAGCGCGCGAGAAGTGCACAGCAGGTTACTGCAATTGAGTCAATTCATACATGGTACTCATTTCTTGGAAATAGGTAGACGGCCATTTGACATCTGAACTTCGTTACCTTTTACCAACGATATCCAAGATGTACTGCCACAATGATATGTACCGATCATTGCGTAAAGCTACTAAATCTGACTAGTCGTTGGCGATGTCTGTATACTGTTGACGTTACAGCAGCTAAAATCGTAAAATGAGACCGGCGTTAGGATGGCCCACATTTGTGGTCCTGTATGCGTACATATGCTATCTGATAAACAGTCGTGCATTTAATTGCCCTAGCCTTTTGCGTAAATAAGTATTTCGTGCTAAAACAGGAAACGTTTCCACGACCGAAGGAGCCGGGGCTAGCCTGTGTAAGTATGTGAATTGTAGAAACTACCAGGCTCGTGATGGCTAAAAGTAAGTGATTTGAACAAATAGAAATCGACGCGTGACAGACAAATTCCCACTTTTAACTAGAACGATTTTTAATATTTAAAAGACACAAATTTCTATATAAAAATACTGTACCTAATTAAAACTGAGCCGGTATTTATTCTGGCCAAAACGTATCTATCTCGCGAATGAATATTATAGGTTCGTTTTAGATAATTCTTGATAATACCGGGTAAACGATACCTGCTCTGCAAAATGCCTTGTTTACTATTAACGGAACACACATTTATCGGAAACTGAGTTAATGTTTTCGCACAAATGTATTCTGTAGTAACGTCCAGGAATTGAATGAATAAGTTAATGCCGACCCGACCCGGAAAGCTAGAGTATTAGCTCTGTAACATAATAGTTTCCTTTCAAAATATTGGCCTATTGGCTAAAAAGCCAGCACTCAGGATGCCATATACGTACTTGATCGAATTCAATGTGTTCCACCCTTCACATGTTACGAGGCATTTCTAAGCGTAATTAATACAAAGGCTTTTGCTATAACGAAACAAACTAATATTAAGGCAAACTTAAAGTTAAGAGATAACTTATAAAATAAGGCAGATAAATATCCAAGACAAAAGGACACAACGAATCATAGAACTCTTTTTATAACCACAACAAAAAAGCCATTCGCGGAACGGTACGACCGAAGGGACAGCATGACAGTTCGAAAGTCAACTTACCTTGGCACAGGAAGCTGTAGCCTCCACCGAAGTACGTTAAAGGTAGCGTCCTGCACAAGAAATATACATTTGAGGCCACCATAATTAACGAATAGAGCCTTGTAGACCACACCAACTCGAACGGTTTCCGGTTCGCCATCACGGACGGGATGGCACGTTTTACCTGGTTTAGCACATTTGCAGGGAAAATGTCGCCGAACATATAGGAACTTCAACTCGATCATCTATTAATCTAAATGAATATCTATTTGGCTATAGAGTTTCAATAGAGAGTTTCTTTGTTTAGATCATAGTTCGTACCTACCAAGTTTCTAGCAATAAAAATAGCCAGTTCCAACAGGCGCTAACGAACGTGAGGGCAAAATACGGTAAAGGATCTTCTTTTCGTTTCAAGTGGTGGCCTAGCATTGTATAATAACAGATGTATCAAACACTATAAAGAATATGGTAAAATTCATTTCAAATGAGCTACAACCACTTGACACGGTACTTACTACATTGTGTATGTAGGTCTATTTGAGGGTTAATTAGAGCGCGTGATCAAGTCGTTTCGAAATAAATAAATAAATAAAGCTTCGGGAGGATCAAGCTTTGGCATTTTCGAACTGACAGTGCACGCAGCCATGCACGTATTTCAACTGTATAAAATTGCTAATAATAAGCATTGCTATTAGTTAGAAAGCAGATTATCTTAAGAAGGATTACTGATTACCGCTATACAGACATAGGACAGAACGCTTTACGCAGTTTTACTATAACCGGAGTAGTAACTGTGCTGTATTTTAAACGGTGAACTCATTTTGCAAACGTTATCTACAGTGATTGTTTGGGACCCTGTATAATTCATTCAATTTTGATATCCATCAAGCGGTTGAGAAGCGAAACAGACCCCCTGGCTTGTGCGAATAGTAGTCTCTTACCAGATAAACGTAGCAAGCGAGTATGGTAATAAGTAATTTCGGATCGTCAAGCATTAGCCATCCTTCCGTCCGTTGATCCTTGCTGGAAAAGAAGGGACTTTGAATCGGGCCTAGCACCTCGGACGACATTTTTGCTGTTTGTGCTGCAATAAATATAACGATAGAGAAATTTAAGTTCATGCCACTTTGGTCGACGCATTCAAAACGACCCCTTTCAACATCTCGTAATTACATCTAAACTAGAACTATTAACTTAATCTAAGTTGCGTGGAAAACCTGCCCGTATAAGGGTATCATAAGCCAATGCTGACGAACTTAAAGCATGTACATGGTGCTTCTAAAAAATGTATTTGGCTGTGCCAGTAGAATATTAAGTCCAAGTCCGCGTTATCTAAAATAATAGATTGCTTTTAACACTGCGGACATAGTTATGATGTAGGCCTGTGTAGGATGACTAAAACTGGCTTCAGGTATTAGAAGCATGACCTATTTTTTGAGAGGCTCTAAATAAAACGCAAGCCTCGGGAACACCCGAGAATTCCGGAAAAATTTCCTATGTCGCAGAACAAACAGCTGCCTAGGAATCTTATCTGTTTGAGCCTTAGCTATCTTTTCTAATATGATAATCTATAGAGACATATACGTCGGAGTAGAACCCTGTGCAGCACATTATTTTCTGCAGCAATATTATTGATGACTATATCAATATGTTATGCTGCAGATCGATAGTAGAATAAAGACTAACTTGTATGTGCGTATGTACGGTGAAGCAGGTATTAGTGAAGAAGTTGGATTTATAAGCGGCTCGAAGCTTAGAGATGCCACTGTGGGCAACTGTGTATCTGAACATATCATTGTGAGGAAAAAATATTCCAGCATTTTCAAGTGTTTTACGTGACGAGCCCGTGAAAATGAGAATAAATTTAATGCGATCTTCAGATACGACGAGGCATAGCATCACCACTAGCAACAACGGCGGCGGCTACAACATTAGTTGCTACAACAATCGATAGAATTATTTTCGTCGTTATTAACACAGTTTAGGAGTGAGGATCAGCTGTGCCTGAGCGGATCCTTAATGAAATCTCTCCGTAGATCATCGTGGACGGTTCAATAGTTAGGAAAATGGATATCGTCACGCATACGTCTAACTTGTTTAAAACTGTTCCGTGTGTTCTTGTTTAGAAGTGTTCCTGTGGCGACAGCTAGCAGTCGGTACGCTGGGGCTGTGTATGCTCAACGCCGACGTGAGCTTGCGCGTATCGTGTCATGCTAGCGGCATTCTGTACAAAGCAATTGGCAATCCATGGCGGACGATAGCACGGTAAACTCGGCTTATCGTCATGCTTGCGATCCCCAGTGCCGTTCTACAGAAGTCTGCATGCAAGGCGATGAAGAATGTAAGATAGAAAATGGAGAATCACCTAGATAATCTAGCACTAATATACGGAGCAAATAAAACCTTCGAACTAGGCATTTGTTTTATTCCGGTAGTAACCAAGAGGCCTAACGAGAATCGATTGCGAGTCTGTTGGCTTTTCATACGTCTAGCGTAGCATCCGATCTGGATGAATAACGACAGTGTCCTTTCCAAATCCTTAGATCGTAAATCTGGCGGTTCTGGGGTGCGAAACTGATCACTGAAGGACCACATTGTTTTGGTAGTGCGTCCTGCTATCCTTTTTATGTTTTGTCATTTTAGGCCTCTTGCATAAAATTAAATAATTATATTTGTTATATACGCCTTCCTGGCGGCAATGTCTGGCCTTTTGCACACTTGCTCCTAATCCGACGAACTGCATACTTTAATTCCACCTGCAGACCCCAATCCTACTGTCTATTTTAGACCTTTTCCCGCCTGTGACATCTCATCAATTCCATCTGCTCCCTAATGATTCAAGCTTTCTACAAGACCGGGCTAAAAGCTAGTCTGGACTATCGTAACGGTAATTTATAGTGGAACACGAAACGTGTGATAGCCAGTATGAGTTGTAGATTATGTAGATGCTATAGTGGTTACGGAGATCGGCAAGGCACGGATGCAAAGCCATTTTCAAAGAGCTCCATGACATGCCTAGAAGAAGAAAGAAGAACTACTTGCAGTCCACCTATGACATTTGCGTTCATCTCGTATCAAGTTGCTTTATAGTGGCTATAAATAAGTATATAATTATGTCAAATCTGTAAGTTACTCTATTTCTGGTTGCGCAAGATGTCGTAGTCAAATAGAGGAGAGCTCAGCGCTTCTGCCTGCCATTATTCTTATTGCATGAGAGGCTTTAAAATCTTTGAAAAGTCGACTGTTTTTGGGAAAGCTTTACCTATGTGTTAACAAAATGTTTAAAGCCATTATGTCAATTAATCGAATAAGTGATTCAGTCTCACAAGCAGGAAGTTTCCCTCGTGTTATCTTTCCCTGTAATTCATACAAAGCGTTTGACACATTGAAATGAAATAGGCGCGGTCCTTGAATAGATGACTGATACCCGAAATTTAATTAATTTTAATGGCAACAGTGACGCGTATGGTAAGATCGCTATTTGTTTGTTTCTCGAATGGGGATGCTGCAGGTAGCCTTAGCTATTGTATGCATACATATTTCATTGATGTGGTTTAATTTTTTCCAAAAGCTTCTAAGTTGAACAAGAGAATAACATCGACATGGCGATAGAAAACGTATGTAAGTAAAAAGTAATTAATAAAATTTATTGTATTATGAATTGGTTCCAGGGGTCAAATGTTTAACAGGAAGCTCCATCTTAGATCGGTAGTCAGAGGTAGGCCTTTATCGGGGGTTTTAAAATGCATTTTTAGTTTCAAACGTATGAGGGTCATGTCTCTGAAATTTGTAGAAAAGTTTAGGCAAACATTTCTATTGCCTCGAAACCTATTATAACCAAATTTTTATCTATACAAATCAATTTTAGGACATATTAAACTACTGGTGATCGACTGCAGCTGTGTTAAAGATGCCGCTTCGAATACTCGACAAGGAGTATCATCTAAGAGAACCTAAAACAGCCAAATTGAGAAATTGGACCTTGTATCCAAAATCATAAAGTAATCAAAAATGACAGAGGCAAATAACGATTTACAAGGGCTAAGGACAGGCTATATTAAAAGGCCAATGTACAGAGCTGTCCGATAACATGTAAAGACCTAAATTACTTTGTGAACCACAACAAGTGGCGCTAGAATACAACTTTCTTCTTCATACCCGAACTGATAGCAAATAAGAAGTTCACTTGCGCCACCTGTGTAATTGGCTCCCAGATTCGAAAAGAAACTCAAGCTAAAACCCTATCACTTCATCAGCAGCGCCTAAACAGAGCTCTACTGTTGGTAATGCTGATTCAGGATTATATTTACGGCTATTAGAAATTTTCTCTAGACGCTTACACGCAGGTTTAAACGGTTATACAGCTGGGAGGGATAGTCGTTTAGAATGACGTTGGGGTTGACATTGAACAATTGTTATACGGATAATGAGGGGTGTTTGGTTGGGGGGCGAACATGGTTATTTTTTTTCTGGCGAAACACGTTGGCTCAACGTTGCCGTCGGCTAACATCAGTGAGCGTCAATATCATCACAGACACATATTTATTCGTTAACTCATATTAGTCTCCGTATCAGCACAATGTATTTTTCAAGCATTTCTGAATACCTGAATATCTGAGTCAATAACACAGTGACGCCTGACACGAACTGAGGTAATTATCTTATCTATCTTCAAACTGCATAGCATATGAGCTGCTTAGTTAAAAAATTTCGGTAGACCGTTTGTAAGCATAATATGCCAGATAGCGATTTCGCATAGGAAGAACATGAAGAACTGTGGTAATGGCGAATCGGACGACGGCACAGTTCGGCGCCTCATGCTAAGAAATGATCTCGCAAAGCTCGGTCCTGGCGCTGAAAGCAGGATGCTTTGCGTTTTTGTTGCACGTATGTAGCGCTGACGTAAAGCTCGATTTGAAAACAATGGCGCCAATTCAGAAACATGCGGTCGCTATGGCAACCCCGAAGCAGTTGTTTCAAGTGGAGATGTCGCGGGTGCTAGCATGGATATTGTTCGTCATAGAAATTATACAATGGTAGACTTTTAATAGTTGGACTTGTTACTGGCCCTGAGGTTGAGAACCTATAATCGTTGTGGCAATATATATTACTTCTGTTTATGGACGCGCTATAAGCGAGTTATTGGGGAATCTTTTCAATGCGCGAGGCATTTCTAGATATATTGTTGTTCGAGCAGATACTTTTTTAAATTTATGCTATAAAAGTAAAGTCGCTTGACGCATATACCCTTTAAAAAAATGGCATATGAAGGTAAGATATGACACCTCACACAATTGTTATTATCGAGTTTTGCAGTAGTAGCACTAACTGGATGTTGGCAGGGCAAGCATATAAATGTGCACTGAATACATAACCTAGCCACGGAGCTTTGTCCTTAAAAATTGTTACCTGGTAGTTTCCAAATACCCTGCCAAAGCTCTTAAAAGGGCACGCAATAAGATTAAATATACAGTACGGCATCATCTTGAAACGATGTCAATGATGCTATGCGCGTTGTCGAGCCTCAAATATCAAATTTATGACGGAAATTCGTTGGATTTCCATGTGTATGATATAATACATGAAGTAACAATGCTATGTGATATGCAAAATGGCATCAACCGTTAGGTCACCTTACATGTCCAGGCCTTGTGACAGAGTTTGCCGCCACAATGCTGAAAGGTTTTAAATATTACCGCGAGTGAGAGGCGTTGCTGTCTTCTTGAAAGCTCACGAGCGCATGCATATTGAAACTGCTTAGATTTCAAAGGCTAAATTTCCAAATCCCCTAGATTTCCGGCATCATTGGCAGCGCCGTTGCCGGCAGCAGAATTACGATGGAAACTCATAATGATCCCTATGTACTTTTCAAGTTGATTGGATCATGTTTACTGAAAGTCTGCTTTCGTAAGGTTACGACAGGATCTTTCACAAGCTCGGGATTCATGGATTGAAATTTTTCTCAAATTTCCTTGTTTCTGAAGCATTTAGTTGCAGTTTATGTGCTTCTCGATGCTGGCGTCTTCACAAACTGGTTCCAAAACAATCACTTAGTTATCGAGGCTTGAAGAGACTAACCGTTTA